ATTGTGTCTCTAGGTATTTGATGCAGTTGAATGAATCCTACGGTCGTATGATTTATATTTATGTTACTACGTTTATGTTACTACGTTACTACGTTTATGTTACTCTGCTGCGCTTGACATAATAATTGCATACGGCATTTAATGATCTTATATGTTATAATAAAGGCTATATGCAAACTAGTCTGGCTTTCTGTAAAATATCGTATTTACAAAATAAATATACTGAATATATTCTATTTTGTATATGTTTCAAATTAATGTTTAGTACATAATTATATAATATAACTACTTGTTATTTGAATGGCATAATTTTCACAAAATTATAATTTCACAAAATGTATTGTATTAATAAAAGATAATATATCATTCATTATAATGTATAATGGAGATTACTTTGAAACTCTCAAGCCTTCGTTTCTTCTTAGATTTATTCATTGCACTCGTATAACATTTCTAATATTAGTGGCACGCGACGCACATTTTAGTATCTCATATTACAACAGAATTTCATCAAAATGCAATCGCAAAGATAATACAGAAAAGAAAAATGTAAGAAACGAAACTTTAATGATCTATTCAATACATACATATATCTTACAATTCTTGTATACTTCCAAAAGTAATAAATAAATTACGTGTAAATTAACGAAATGAAAATTCAACGCAAACTACTTTTGAATTTAAGTGTGGTTTGAAAAATTTATTATCCCTCGCATACATTAAAACAATATCTCATAATTTCTTTTCTTTATAGCTTTAATTCATAAGTAAAATGAATAAATCGTGCGAAATATTTGCTTCGATAAAAATAATCATAAAATTTACAGTTATCAAGGATATTAATTGATTATAATTCAGTTAATTATTCCTAGGGAATAATTGTTTTGGCTCTTCCACGTGATCCTATTTTGATGCGTAGTGCGTGTTTGCTACGACACGTACTGTTGCCTGCTGGCTCGCAAATACGATGCGCGACGGCCTTGTGTACATACGTCGTATGTATGTAAGTATTGTATGCTATTAAAACAATATCAAGGTTAATCGACACAATCAAAGGTAAAAAATTATTTCTGTGAAGTAGTTTGTATCGAAATATATTCAATTTTTTGTATTTTTAATCGGTTTTGATAAATGAATTATTATTGTATATTTTGCACCTTGTTGTATAGACTTAAGTATCTAAAATAATGATTAAATTAGTTTGATAAAAAGAAAATTTTAAAATAAATTATTTATTATTTAAATTTTTTAAATTAATGATAATGGGAATATTAACTACTCGTACAGCACAGAAACTTGTAGCAAAAAATTGCATATTGCAGAAACATTGTGAAGATTTCTTTTTGCAATATTACTTCAGCAATGTTTGCAACAGTATTTTTAAAATATTTCCAGCAAGAGACATAAATTGACATAAGAATCCTGTCCTTGTTAAAAAATCAGTAAGAGACAAAGACAAAAATAATTCTTGTCATTATATCGATTTGTACCTCTACTAGAAAGCTCTCTTTGAGTGTTAAGACTTGTATTGATTTGTATACAACCCAATAAAGTAAGGCCTTGGACATAATGGAAGAATAGGAATTAATGATTACGGTACACTTAATCGGGTTTCATAACATCAGTTATGAAACTGATCAATCTCATAACTATATTCTTTTGAAAAATGGAATGACTGGTTAGCTTCTATCTATATTATTAAATCATTAACGTCATTTCTACCAATATAGATTAATTTTAATCTCAGTTCAATTTATCTTCGTCTTTTTCTAGTTCCAAAGATTAGAAAAAGATGAAGAGTAAGTTGAACCGAGATTGAAGTTAATCTACATTAGTGGAAACGGATATAAGATGTAAAAGTAATCAATGTCTATAATTTAGGAATTATGCCTATAATATATAGACATAAAATAATTAGAAGTAAGGATTAAATATAATATACAATGGACACAATAATAAGATGTAAGACGTATAGGCCGTGTTCCGATATGCACAGCCAGTACTGAAAATTTATAGTTCACGTTACGTATGCTGTAGATTTTCAGGCAGTGTATATCGAAATATGCCTATAAAATATAAAGACATAATTAATTATGAAGTCATATTTTATTTGTATTCATTGTATGTTACATTTAACTTCTATTTCTAATTTTTTATGTTTAAATTTATATAGTACAAAATCTTATAATAAATATTGCAATAATATTGTAATATTACAGCAATATTGTTACATTATTACAATGTTTCTGCAAGTATTCCTTCACTGTGCGCAAAACCTAATATTGCGTATATATTATATTGTAATATTGCTGTAATATTACGTATTAATGTTTTTAAAACGGGCATTTTTACATTGCTGCAATGTTGCTGAAATATTGCAGTAATATTTTGCAATATTTTTGTAATGTTGCAATCTTGCAATGAAATATTTTTGCAATGCTGCTGCAATATTTCTGTGCTGTATGGGATATTGTGCATTACTTATATATATTCGATATCTGATATCCGATAATTTTACGATTCGGTGCTCTAATTTAATGTAAAGATATGAATTGCGATTAGAGAGATTTTACGTAAAGCAATAAAAATGCAATTTGAGATATGTTAAATGCTGTTGTTAATAATATTAAATTTATATTAAATTTATATTTATAATCATTTTATAGATTAAATCTACAATTTAATTCCATATTAATTTTTTTATATCTAATTGTAAATACATCCATATTTCTATAGAAATTTTTGATAAAATAATTTTGAATTCACTTTCATACATTTCTTTTTATTTCTTACAGGAAAATTTATAGATTAGATCGTTTGTTTCTCTCTCTTGTATCCTTACCTTTACATATTTTTTTCAGTCACAATTTTCTTTACCGTAGTCCTCAATTTCATCGCCGTTTTATTTTTATTTCTTTCCATCACGCGTGCGATGCATCTGCGTGTTCAATATCTGGAAATCTCGAATTATTTGAAAATGGACGACGGAGCAAGTAACAAATAGCAAGCACTCTCAATTTATTTTTCGATCTCGAAATCGAGATCACGTACGGATTCCTGATGACAAAAACACATATTTATTAATGTAATTTCATTAAGAAATATTTAACAAAAATGAGAATTTTCTTTTATTAGATAAAACTGCGTAAAAGAAAGTCAAACGGAATGAAAAAAATAAAAAGAGATATATTTAAAAGCATTTATTATATTGGAAATGTCATATTTTTGTTGAAAAATTCAATTGGAATTAATCATACTTAATACATAATACGATTTAATTTAATCCAGTTATAAAATAATACATTTATATTAATTTTTAAATAGAATAATTAAATTATATCAAACATTTAAATTTATAATAATAATAAAAAAAAGAATAATGTTGCCTTGTATAACACGGAATTTTAACTTTGGCTATCAGAAATAGTGATCTTTGAGGAACAGAGCTAATTTTTCTTATTTTTCTGGATTATACAAATATCTGTAAAATTCTGATCAAAGCTACTTATCAAAGCTTTAATAACGAATTTTATACTATTATACTATATAATAGTATAAAAAAATATATTTTATACTATAGAAATCGGATTGTAATTTACTGATTTTTTTTTTACAGATTTAAATTGAAATAAGAATATTGAAAAATTTTATCAATCAAACATTCATAACTTTTATGTGAATAAATGGAATCAATCCTTTTAAACTTTATGTATTATATAATACTTAAGGGTATGTACTTTCAAAAAAATAATACATATAATGTGTGCGATGTGTGCATAATTATTAAATTCATTTTAATCCTTATAGTACAAGATACAATTTGGTGCCTCATCCGTCCAAACATAGGTCAGTTAATAGAATCCGTTAGTTTTTTTCCTATGATATTTTTCAGAATGGTTACAAAAATCTCTAAAAAGTCAACATACTTTCAATCTTCTAAAATAAATATTGAAACTTTATTTTGGAAAATAATAAAATGCAGTATAATGTATAATTACCGAAAGATTCAAAGAAACTTGCACGAACAAGAATCGCTCGGTTATTAACAACTCGATCTTATGGTAAAAGTAAAAATGAGTACAAATATATCAAAATAAAAATATATTTCAAAGTTTATACGACAATATTTCTCGTTTGTATGATATTACTAATTTGTCAGATATCGAATGTAAAGTGTCAGATACAGAATGTAACAACGAATATCCGGATATCCGACCGGATTCCAAAAAAGTGTCTTCTAAAAAAAAAGGTCTCTATGGAGAAAAAGATTGCGTAATTTTGCAACAATGTATAAGATATAGCATCTTAAATATGCATATTTATTATACACGCGCGTGCGTGCGTGTGTGTGTTATACACACACATATATATATATATATATATA